ATCAAAAACTGAATTGACTAATGTGCCTTTGAAGCTTTTTGGACACCTTTCAATTTTTATCCAAAATCTCAGCCGAATAGTTCGAAAAAAATTTTTGAAAAAAACTTTGACGGCGAAAACTGCAAAATACGAGTGCATTTCCTTGGTTTTCGCTACCTGTTTCAGAAAAATTAATTATCACAACAACGAAACAATATTTTGCAAAAACTCATCCGTAAGTTTTTTCATGCCGCTATGGCGAATGTAACCGTGCAAAATATTGGCTTCATCTCTATTTTAAAAGAAAGAGTTGATTCCTTCGACAGACACCGATGAGGTATTCCACTATGGGCGAAAAATCTAAATTTTTTATGGTCATATAATATTTGAATGGCATTGAAACTATTTTTTCTAGATGGAGTTTTTCATGTAGAATTAGAGGAAAAGCTTTCAAAGCTCTAAAACTTACTGGGTTTAAGATTTACGTTCAGTTTTTAAAATGTAGACCGTTTTTTAAAATCTTAAATTTTAATTTTTTTAAAATGTTCAATCCTCAGAAATTTGTTGGAAGGCTAAAACACACATATTCTGATTCATCTCGATCAGCTCTATCGATCCATGTAAAAATATCGAAAACTAAAATGCGCTCAAATTTTGAATTTCCGATGCCTTAAGTATAAAGATTTTTATTTGAAGCAACAAAAAACCTCAATTTATCTATCGCTCAAACGATTTCACGCATATTTTTTGTTTAAACTCAAAAAATTGATTTAGTTTTGACTTAGTTGTTAATCAAATTTTTTTCCTAAACGTTTACTTATAATTCAACTGACACCACTATGTCTAGAAGCAGTTTTCTCCCGATAATAAATAAATCATAAGAATTCCTCATGTGTGAGATGAGAGAGTTATCTTTTACTACTTTTCCTTTTAGTAATACTTTATTTTGAAAAAAATTTCTATTTTTTCTGTTATCAGTTTCCTGAATCTTCTGATAAGGCAGATGAACAACCTATTCGAATTAAAATAACATCGAGTACATCTCAAAACGAACATGACAGCACCACTACAAGATGCAAAGACACTCTGTTGAAAACTGAAACAGCTTCTGATTTACTTGGCGCCAACATCAAAAAAGCGTTCAAGTGTGTGATTGAAAAACATCATGAAATTCAAATGGATCAGTCCGATTTGAAAATACTATTGAAACAAAAGGAATTGCGTGAAACAGCGAAGTCAGTCAAATTTACCAAGCGTGACTTCAAGGTGGCCAAAGTAATGGCTAAGAATATTAAACAAATCAATAAGTACTGTTCTATTCGATTCAAAAACAACAGATTTTCTGAATCAGTTATTCGTAATCGAGGAAACGTATTATTAACAAGCGGTGGCTTTTGTTCTTTCAAAATGTGTCCTTTTAAGTTTGTTGTTCATGTAAAAGAAAATGGAGAAATGATTATGGATTGCACAGGAGCCATTATACACACAGGAACTGCATTTCACGCTAGACCAATACGTCGGGATGAGCGTCAAGTATTACATGATGAATTAGCTATGAGTGCCAGCGCAACTGGAATGTTTAATAAAAAGTTGTTAGCCACACCACAAGATGTTCTGAGCGCTCGTAATTTGGATGATGTAGGAAAAAATCCAAATCTCTACCACAAAATAGCATCATACAATCATAAAGAAGCACTGTGTCTTTTTTTTATTTGAACGATTGAGCGATCTGAGGAAAAAATATACACTCTCTTCACTAGGAAAGAGTGAGAAATGAACTTTTTATCATCATACTTATTGAGAACGTCGTAGCCTCGATAAAATTTGGGATGTCTCGCTTCGCTATTTGCTCTTAATAATTGTTTAATTTCAGCACACACTTGAATATATTCTTCATTTTCTGATATGTGCTCGATTGCATAGAACTTCGCTTGTTTAAATTGAAAAATACTGATTGTATATTTCTTAAGTTCATCTTCAGATGTTTAAGAAAAAGTCCAAAGTCACATCGGTTGCGGTTGTTTTACCCTCTAAAATAATCAATTTTGCTTTTCAAAGCATCCTCTACTATTAGTTCTGAATGGAAAATAACTGAAATGCATTCAAATGTTATCATAGTATTAATCACTCCGCAGATAATCGTTCTCATTTATGAGTTTGACTGGCGGTAGGTAATATCTACGTTTTGCAACAACATTGTTTGTATTCTCCACTTACTTCCTGAGTAAACAGAAGTTTTACATGTTTTTCGCTTTGTTATAGAGATTGTTGTCGAGAATACCATTCATCAATGGCGATGAACTTTTTTTCTGTTCTGTAATATATGTTGCTGTGTGTCATTATAAAAGAAAAAAAGGTGAAAGAATTCAACTGAATGGAGATTTGTTAAAACATCATTATTCTTGCATATGAATCAGTTCGATGGGATGCAGTCGAAGTAGCCAACAAGTTGTCGATATTAAAAACACACATATACAAACGCTAGTGAAAGGTACGAAAATGTGTCATTTGCTCTACTGACTTTATAATTGTTTTTTCTTCATCTAATTTTCTCCGTTGTGTCAAAGCTATGTCATGTCCGAGCATTTGTTACCACAGAAGATTCGAGAGTCCATATTTCCGTTTCATATACTTCAACGTTTTGTCGCCAATACCCCTTCTTCCGGAATAGAAGGTTATGACCCTCTGTTATCCTTCAATACGTAAAACATTTTTTCAAAATAATTCTCCTATCCTTTTTATAGCACGATTTAGAAAAAATTTCGCTACATACAGGGTGCCTATTCTGAGGAGAGATTCACCCAGATGTACATTATAGTCCATTTTTCGTTTTCACAGTAGAAGATGTGTTAAAAAACAACACTAGCGTCAGCCAAAAATTTTTGTCAATGGCGCTGAGCCACAGATTTTCTATATTTAATGAAAAATATGAGAGCAACGACGCTAAAGTTATATTTCATGACTATCTAAATAATTCTCGATTCTTAACCAGCGACGTTAAGGCTTAGAAAATTCGTTTTCTTTAATTGAAATTAGAAAAAATATTTGATTGAAATGGAAAATAAAAATACTACACAAGAACTTTTTTCAAAAAAAGGTTTGGTCCATCCCTTACTGAAACCCTGGATACGTCGCTGTTCTAAACCCTCTTTAATTGGTAGACATATTCATCAGATTATTAAGCATGACCGCCATCATGTTTACGCTAAATCAGAGGCAAACATGAAACTTAGTCAATGTTGAATACTTCTTCGAACTATTGCGAAGAAAAAGAAGTGCTGTTTTATGCAATATACATCGAAAGATTGTCGATCAATATTTTCGTTCTAATCCAAATATTCATTGTTTTTCTTTATTGCTTTCATCACTGTCATCTAACGTCATCAGTTACTGCAGGGTAAGAATTAATTGTAAAAAATTCTATGGCAACTACCGAGCGATATTACTGTAGTCCTTCAACACACGTTAAAAGGAGAAAGAAAGAAAGAAAAACATCAAATATAATTTTTCTCTCCTAACATTTCAGCTACGAACAGACAGGTATGTATGAAATAAGAAGAATTAAAAGTACATGAATTACTTTGTTTTCAGAAAAGCCCTAAAAGAATAAACTGTAAATTTTGACAATAAAGTATGTCGGTATAATCGAAAGACATTTCTAGGCAATCAATCACATGTATACTGGAATAGTCATGAATATGATGTCCACTTAATAACTTGTAATCGCTGTTTCGTTCATATTAAAGATGTTAATATCGCACGAGAGGTAACCTGATTTAGAATTTGAAAGGACGGGGGTCGATAAGAGGCAAAATCGGCCCCCTCTCAGATCAAGCTCATATTCACAAGTCTGATGTAGTTTTTCTTCGTGATTAAAACTAGCATCTCAAAAAAACCATTTTCAGCCCCCCTGGAAAAAATTCCGCATCCAAACTGTTCACCCCTTAAATGAATTTTATTTAGAATATTTTCCCCATTTCTTCTCTTTGCCCAAAGCAAACCTCAACTACTGTAC